CGCCGCCCCCGCGCCGCTCCACCGCCATGCGATAACAAGGAGGTACACGCTCTAGGTGCGAGAATGCCACAAAACTGCAATTTGGCTTTAGGAATATTAAATAAAAGTATATTTGGTGGGTGACCAACTAAAGAGCATGTGGGCGGGGCGGCGCGGGCGCGGGCGGGGCGCGGCCGGGGGCGTGGCGCAGGGGGGGAGGGTCTCGCCGCCGACTGCCTCGCGTCACGCCGGCCGCGCTGGTCATGTCTTCCTAACACTACGTCCTACATCACAGCAAACAAGACACTACTGCTTAGAGGCTCAGCGGCCTTCCTTCCCTCACGCTGGGAGGTCCTTACAACTACCCTGGACTCCCTCCCTCGCCGGCAGGAGGTGCCGGCGGCGCCCCTGCCGGACGTCTGCCGCGCCTTCACCAGCCCAGGAGCCCGGCCGCCCGCCCGCCCGCCGCGGGGGCGCGAGGCTCCTGCGGCGGCGCGGGCTGCCTGCCTCCTGGCGCCAGCCTTCTCGCGCCGCCGGAGCCAGCAGACTCAAACTCTCGCTACCGTGGCTTGAATATGCAATGCAAATGCACGCGAGTCAGTGCTATATATCATACGTAATTCCTAAAACATAAAAAACGATTATTGATATTGGCACATTCTTTGCCACCAAATTACAAACAAAGAGAAAAAAATGATAGAAATGGTTTGGCACTACAGAAAATAATTGAATGAGTACGGAATACTTGGCACTAATATTTGGTAACACTAAAGAATAAATAGTATAAAATTATATTCAGCAAAGCTATGAAGGGTGTTGGGCGTGGGGGCGAGTGTAGAGGTCGGGTGCGTGTGGTGGAGGTGGAGGCGGTGGAGGCGGCGGTGGTGGTGGTGCGGGAAAGTCGCAAGTGGATACGAGAAGGCACAAGGAGGTGTGGAGGCGAGTGGCCGCCTCCGGTCGCTCGCGTCGGCCACCTGCAGCACCACACCGACCTCGAGTAAGACACTATCTCAAAGACACTGGTGTTTAACCTTTAACAAGGCACTCGGGTTTCGTTCAGGTCTGAGGCTTCGGTTGCTTGGTACTGAATACCAATAGAATACATAATCATCGTCGGCATCACATACATCCAGGAAAATAATAATTAGTTAAGGATAATATTGGTTCGTAGCAAACCAACAGATTAACACAGTTTATAGTCCACAAAGCGTGGAAATCGGCAGGGGCGGCGGTGGGGGCCAGGTCAGGCGCTGACCTGGCCCGCCCTGGTGACCCAGGCCTCGCCCTCAGGCTGTGACCCGGTCACCGCCCACTGGCCCTTGACTATAAGTCACCGAGTAGAACAACCACAACACCGTATACAACATGGTTTCTCTCCCCCGTTCTCTATTGTACACAGGAGTTCCTAAGAGCAATATCTATATTTTTGTCCTTCAACACAAATTCTTCGCTCGTACAAATTCCTCTGTCTAGCAAAAAACTGGATACAAGGTACAGTAGAAAGTTTAACAACTACACCAGTTGGTATGTTACAATGATATGTACGGCTAAAAGATAACACATACGCTATAGTACACGGGCGCCCGAGCGCCGTACTACTCTCTCCGTCTCTGCGGCGGGGACTAAAACGTGCCCGCGTGAGGTGTTCCTTCAAGACATAGGTCTTCCAGCGCTACTTTCCAAGGCAGTCTGGAAGAACGCCCTTCTCCCGCCGCCGGCACGCCCAGCTCTCTCTCTCTCGACCGGCCGCCGTTCTTGCGTCGCCCGCTCGCCCGACGACCGCGGCGGCGGCGGCGGCGGCGGCGACGGCGGCGGCACCCGAGGCTGCGGCGGCGGCGCGGCGGGGGCGCATGAGGGGAGCATCTCGCTAGACTACTCCCCGAACCAACTTCATTCGAGGTGGCGGAAGCGATGGGCGGACATCTGGCTGAGGCCCAGCACCGAGTACTGGCACTTGAGGCAGTGGTAGTGCGTCTGCTTCTGGTTGTGGTTGCAGCCCTGGACGCCGCACGGCTGCGACGGCGTGAACTTCTCGAAGCCGGCGGCGTTGATGGAGTCGCGCTTCTGGTGCTGCCGCCGGTGCGCCACGACCTTGTTGGTGTCCGTGCACACGAAGTCGCACTTGAGGCAGTGGAAGTGCGACGCCTTGTTTTGCTGCTGGCCTGGAGGGGGAGAGCGCGCGCGTTAGGACTGGGTAAACCACTCGGGGAACAAAGAAAATAAACGAATACATAAACAGATAGACAGATAAATGAATATCCACTGCATACAACTGCATACGCACCTATCATGGAGGCGTAGACGCAGTCGGGGCGCCCGCACGGCACGTTGGACCGGAACTGGTTGAAGTCCCCGCCCATGAGGGTGTCGAGGCGCTCGTGGCGCGCCGTGTGCTGCACGAACCGCGTCTTGTCGCAGAACGAGTAGCCGCAGTCCTTCCGCATGCAGTGGAAGTGGGTCTGGTGCTCCCGGTAGCCGCAGTGCGGGTACTGGCAGTCCTCGTTGAACCTGTGGAAGGGGGGGGGGGTGAGTCTTGCTATTGTGGCTTTCAATTTTTCATTCGCGTTGCAAGTTCATTAAACTGACATGCACACACACCTAGACAGACATAAATATATACACACACATAGATATACTTCCATAACATTAGCATCCCAACGCTTTGGGTTTCCCGCCTCACCTGAAGCGCACGTAGCCCTCGGGCACGGGCTCGTCCTTGAGGAGGCGCATGGAGTGGTTGGAGCGGATCTTCTTGGCGTCCTGCGCGGCGAAGTCGTCGGCGCCGAGCCGCTTGCCCAGCAGCGCCAGGTGCGGCGACGGGCCCAGCGTGGCGGGCAGCACCGGGTTGTGGTCGCCCGACGCCTGCAGGCCCGGCGGCAGCCCCGGGCTCACGCCGGGCATGCCCCCGGGGCCGGGCGAGCCGTGGGGCATTTCCCCGTTGGGTCTGACGCCGGGCAGCATGAGCCCCTGGTGGGCCATGGCGGCCAGCGCGGGGTGCACCTGCCAGGCCGCGGGCGGCAGCAGGCGGGGGATGGTGCCCGGGAACATGCCTGCCATGCCCAGGTGCGGCCCGAAGGGCGTGGGCAGCCCGGGGAAGCTGGCGGCCTGCGTGTACACGAGCGGGAACTGGGGGCCGCTGATGCTACCTGAGATGCTGCTGGAGCTGAGGGAGCGCGGGCTGCTGGCGGGCGCGGCCAGCGGCGTGGCGCCCATGCTGCTGCTCGTGCTCTCGCTGGGGCTGCGCGGGCTGGAGGGGCGCTCGCCGCCCTCGGACGGCGCCTGGCCCGCGTCCTCCGCCTCCTCCTTCACCTGCGCCGGCGAGTCCTCGTCGCCTGCCGCCGCCATGCCGCCGGGCGTCATGGGGCCGCACGCGGCGTGCTTCAGCAGGTGCGGCCGCAGCTTCTCGTGCTCGCTGAAGGCCTGGTTGCACACCTGGCAGTGGTAGTGCTCCTTCTTCTTGAGCTTGCAGAAGGGGCGCCCGCACGAGAAGTCCGGCCCGTACTGCGGGTGGCGCTCGGGGTTCATCCAGTCGGCGCCCAGGGCGGCCGCGAGGGGCGCCTGCTCGGCCGTCATCTGCTGCAGGAGTCGCGCCGAGTACGGGTCGCCGCCCAGCACGCCCAGCGAGCGGGCGGCGTCCGCCTCGAAGTCGTGGGCGCGGTCGTCGACGTCGCCCTGGTCCATGCGGTCGCGCGCCGGCGAGTGCGGCGCCTGCGGCCCCGGCGAGCGGCGCGTCGCGGTGATGGTGAGGCTCCCCGACACGGGCAGCGTGAAGGTGGTGGACATCTGCGGGCGCGTCGAGGGAGGGATGGGCGTCACGAGGGCGCCGGGCTCGCCGCGCGCCGCGTTGGGCGGGCGGATGCCGCCGGGGTTGGCCGTCGGGAAGGGCGACAGCGGGTAGAAGATCCCTGAGGACTTGACCACTGGAGGCGAGAGATCTGCACGTCAGTGTAACCTGAAGCTCCCCGTCGGGCCCTCGGGCGCCGACTCCACTAAGCTACGTCTGTCTACTCCTAACATGACAAGAACAGGAATATGCTCAGCCTAACTGCGACACTTGTCGGGGTTTACCTTGTCCTTTGGAGGGCGAGTCCCTGCCGGCGGGGCCGCCGGGGGTCGGCGTGTCCATGGGGCTGTCCGGCCGGGGCTTCTTCAGGTAGATGGGCGACTGCGGGCCGAGGCTGTGGTGGGTGGCGCCGCCCGCGACCGCCACGCCCTCGTCCTCTGCTGGTGCTTCCCGCGTGAGACTCGAGGGTCTGGTACCGCACGAAGGAGAAGCCGCAGCGCGTGCAGTGGAAGTGCTTGTTCACCTTGTTGCTGCGGGGAAGAGGAGACAATGTGCATTCAAGGAAGGTTATTTCCACCGTCAACATATTTCGATCGTCAACATTATTCTTTTTCTTTTCTTTATTGCAAAAGACACAGGGCGACTCAATGAAAAGCTCGTTACCTCTGACAGTTTGGTGACCGACAGTCAATGTTGCGGTCGATGGCAATGAACCCTTCGGGGATGGGCGTGTTCTCGTGGAAATCGTGGGCGTGGAGCGGGAGGACGTCGGTGTGGGCGGTGACATACAGACACCTCGGGTGGGCGCAGTGGTAGTGGCGGCGCCCCAGCAGTGGGCACAGCTGGTCGGGGCAGGCCACGCCCTCGGCCCATGGGTAGAAGCCGTCCACCACCTCCGCCTGCGGGCGAGACGAGGGCGTGAGAGGAGGCAAAGCGTTAGGTTCTAATCGTTCCAAGTGACATTGATTCGAGCGAGGGGCGCGAGACGCAGCCCTGAGGCTCGAGGCGCGAGGCTTACCTGAGGCTGCAGCGGGTTGGCGAGCAGCGGCCCCCGGAGCGGCAGGAGGACGGGCTGGGGGCCCCCCAGGGCTGCCCCCAGGGGTCCCCCGAGGGTGGCGGGCTGGGGGACGACGCTGCTGGTGGTGCTGGTGGAGGTGTTGGCGGAGCTGGACATGATGAGGCTGGGCGGCGAGGCGTCGCGGCCCATGTGCGCCAGGTGGCCCAGGGGCGTCATGGG